TCTTTGGAGAATTTCCCCCCCACCTCTGTGCAGGAGTTTGTGTTTCATGGAAGACATGTTAGAAAAATGATCACTATAGCTCACTATACACGTAACATAACTTCATATCAAAACTTGCAGTCTACACAGTTAGAAATGTTAAGGTTAAGCGAGAATTAAGAGAACTAAGTGAGTTGTTTTGGCTATAGTTTTCTTTTGGGTCACAGGAGGACATTTACTAATGCCCTCCTGTGACCCAAAACTGAGCTAATAGCCGCAGCTATTAGGACAGATGCCAACAGTAGTGTCAGGATTGACATCTGTCTCTGCCTCTCTAGAAGCAGAGCCAGCTGTGCCTGCCCCCTCCCCTGTCTGTCCTGTCAGCGCTGGAGGATCGAAGAGGGAAGGGGGGATTCCCTGCGGGGAGCAGTGACTGATAGTCACCGCTCTCTGCAGGGAGATGATCGTGAACTGAGCAATCAGTGGTTTGTGATTGCTTAGTTCTCTAACAATATAGCCAGCGTGTGACAGCTGTTGGCTTTAACTATGGGGGTGAGTCTATTTCACTCTCCCCCCGTAATTCTCCTATAAAATTGACTATCCATTGAACACAACAGAATATCGTTAAATGAGAGTCTGATCTGTATCTAAAAATATTTTCTAGATTGACAGTTCTCACACTGGAAATGGTGGGCAATGGGGACCCCTTTATGATCATGGAAACTTTGTATTCCCTAAAAAATTGATCACAGTCTCCTCAAGCAACCCTAAGCTACTGCAGAGGCTTTCTAACAGGTTTATAGCATCAACTCATGTTTTTAAAATGTAAAGTAAAACCAAATTAATTTAGACCACAATGGAAACATTGGTTTTTAGACTAATTAAAGAGTCATAAGACTAACATTTTTATCAGCAACCTGTTGGGAGAGGGGGGGCGGGGGGGGGGTTATTGGTCTATCCTCTCTATAGTTTTACAGAAGAGGTGAGAGCGGTGGGAATCCCTAGTGTGCAGGGCACTTTAATATTGACCTTCTCCAGAGGTGATCACTTGTAAGCTATTAGTGATCAGATTAAATCAACTGAACAATCAGTTTTAATGGTGGAAATGCCGTACTGTATATAATGTGATATACGAGTAAAACACCTTATGTGTTCGGTTCCAGCATTTAGATTAGCATGCTATAGTTTGCACACTATTTCCCCTACCAGCTGAACAGGCTAGTATTTTCTCTTCCCTTGCATTTTATGTCTGTGCTAAACTTCATGCAAATAGGGAAATTCACACATGAAATTTGTACTTCTGTTCAGTCACCTTTGTGATCCAGATACCCCTGCCCAGTTCTGTAGCCATATCCTGGATCTCCCTGCAGACTATTCTGCAGTTAAGCCATACAGCCTAGTTCATGACTTGCTTGACCCTGTCCTAGAAAGAAGAGCAGTGCAATAATGAGCTCATCCTTCTGCTCGCCCCTCCTGTAAGTATGTTTGGTGTTGCAACTGACAGCACTATTTGGCTGCTCTGCAAGGGATTATTAAGATTAAGATTAAATGGCTTTAAATATGTCTGGTGGTTCTGCTGGAACATTCACAGGGTGAGGTTAGCCTTTCCGTTATTACTAAGACACCGAGCATTTGTAAATGCAGACGGTTCTTTCCAGTGTTGCAATTTTAGAATTTCAGAGCTCATACTGGTCATTAAAAGTGGTTTCTCCCAAACACTATTGAGCAATGCGAAAGCTGACACTGGATGATCATATTTTAAGTTTTGTATTTTTTTTCTTCTTTTATCTCTGTACCAAAATATAAGATTTATGTTCCTGATTTTACTTCACATGATGCATAACTGCATGCTCTTGACATCATGATGAAGTCATTATGCATGTTTCCACTGTGTCACATAACAGGACAACAAGGAGAGGGGAAGGCAAGTCTGTATCATGTCTCAAAAGGTGAAAGTTTGAAACAAAACAATACTCAAAGGCAGTTTTTTTGTATTATATACCAATATTAAAGCCTGTGTTTAAAGAAAATCTGTACTGAAAAATACAGAGCCTGGCATGGCTTACTTGCCTTGGAAACTATTGGTTGCTTGGCCTATCTCAGTCATGGATTCAGAACAAGCATGCAGCTAATGAAGTTAGAAAAGTCAAAACTCCTGATCCTGCCCACGTATTCTGGGTTACTGACTGAGAAGGTTTGTTGGATCAAAATAACAGCCAGGCAACTATCATTTTCAAAAAAGGGCTCAATAATGGCAGCCGGTGCATTCTCTCAATGCAGGTTTCCTTTAACTAAAAAAGAATAGGTACCTTATATTCTTGCTAACTGTATAAATCTACCCTGTTGCAAAATAAAAAGGTAGAAAAGAAGGTTCCAATGTAAAGGAGAAACATTATATTTGCATGTCCCCCCCCCCCACCTTCGCCACCAATCTTCAGTCTCCTTAAAGACCTATGGTGCCCAAAAGAATCCTCTCCATCCAACTCCCTTCTAAGAGTGTTGGATTTCTGGTCTTCCTGCCGAGTGCTGCTGTGTTCTTCCCGCAGCCCCTATATTACTGCAGGACATAGTAGTGACATAGGGGCTGGTGCAAGGAATTGCAGTTCTTGCCTAGGGATCTGGAATCCAACACTTCTATAAGTATGTCAGATGAAGAGGATTCTTTGGTCACCATAACTTTTGAAGAGCATGAAGGTTGGTGGTGCAGGTGGCTGGGCAGGTGAGTATAATGTCTTTTCCTGGCAGGCTACCTTATTTGCTACTTTTTAATTTTGTGCCATTTTAAGACTTGATCCACTTCAGTCACATCCTGACCATGCTACAAACAGGGTCCATGGATGGATATAGATATATACACTGAGTGGCCAGATTATTATGACCACCCCATCAGTACTTCGTTGGGCCACGAGATGACTCCACGAGATGACTTAGTTGGGCCGCCTCGTGACTCCACGAGATGTTGAAAGGTGATGCGAGGAATCTGACACTGCACTGTTGCCCTTCTGTTGTCTTGTACCAGTCTTGCCACTCTCCGTTTATATATAGATATAGATATGTGTGTATATATTAAAAAGAAACACAAAAGGTGCCTGGAATGATGTGACTGTGTGTCCAATGGCATCACATTCTTTCTGTCCTATTCTATTTGGTAATATGATTATGTTCAAGAGGGGAAGGTCCTACAGCCACACCCATACAGCAAATATGTAGACAAATGAAACAGTTTCCAAAGCCAAAAGACTAAGAGCTGGGAGTCATGGAGGGCCTTTTAGGCAAATATATGACCTATTTTTACCTAAAAAGCCCTCCATGACTCCCAGCCCTTACTCTTTTGGCTTTGGAACTGTTTCCTTTGTCTACATATTCTAATCTGCCCCAGTGAAGAAGGAGCGTTCATAATATTACTGTTGACCTAAGACCGGATTCAATTACTACCATCTTTGGAAAGCCCAGTCCTTGTCGTAAGCTCTGCCCCTTCTTCAGCTTTGCTTCTCCTGTATACTGTACAGAGGGGAAACCGTGAAGTTCTTCAGATCCTGCATCATATTACTGTTCCCCCATAGTATACAAGAGCAGAGGGCCGCTAGAAGGCCATAAAGAGCTTGGAGGGCATCACTTGAGACAATATTCTCACTAAAGCTAACAGAGCTCTTCCGTCATGAGGCCCTGTAAACCAAACAGGTGTGGTTTGGTTGCATGCAATACGTAACATGAACACATTCAGGCACTTACATCATTCCAGAGCCCCACTGGAATGAATGCATAAAGCCTAAAAAACATTAAATTGTCTGGGTTGCCGATTCAACCATTTAGGTGTTCGATAATTTTGTAATTGGAACAATAGATTTACAGCTGAAAACTCCTTTGTACAGCACACTTAGCACCACTTTGTAAGTCAGTTCCTGAAATCCAGTTGGCAAGTAAGCTATGTAGTGACAATGGCTTTCAATGAGCATTGTTCTAATATGTCTTTTGTTTAGCCTTTTACAGATCACATTTAATGTCATGCAGAATGCAGAGCATGTACAGAACGGAATGAAACTGTGTCAGGGCTCTGTTTGTTTGTCTTGCTTTTCTATTTTTTAGATTACTATGGGAAGACAATGTCGGTAAAGAAGGAACAGTCAAACTTAAGTACCTCTGGAGAAGGTCAAAGTTTATCTGAAGGGGGAGGGGCAACAGCCAATAGTACGAATTGTCGGGATTGGGCTAACAGAAACGAGAACTACAGTAACTAAATTTATTCTGTTTACTGCAAATGATCATTGTTTCACACAACACCAGCTGCCATTGAATGCCTAGCAGATACACCAAACACTACTGAATAATGGAAGGAAGGAGGTAGAGCCATGGGGCTTCACAAATGAAACATCTTATCACTTTGAAGTCTCTATACATACTTTTCAACAGATTATTTGATGCTTTCATCTTATAACAAATGACTTGAGCTGATTCATATTACATTTCTTGCTTTGTAGGATTTTTTTCGTTTACATTATACCTTTTTTTTTTTTTAATATGAATGTAATTAAATGGCGATCTTGCCCATTAATCAGATTCTGTTCAGTTCTAGCACATTCTGACAATCTGATTGTTTTTTCGATATTACCAGTTTGCCTGTGCACTCACTTTGAACTATGATATTTTGTAACTACTACTGAATTTCTATTTCTCAAAACCGTATTGGCTGCGATCAGCCACAGCACATGGTGCTCTTGGCAGCGTGACATTTAAGCTTATTTGTTGTGGTGAGAATGGGAAGAGCCAGGAACTTTGGTGAAGAAATTTGGAATCACCAAAGATGTCAGAATCCAGTCAAACAATGCCCAACCATAGCTGGATTGTGAGTTTTGTGTGGACCTTTCGTCGTGCTAACAGCAATATAAAATATGGAATATGTCATTGCAACATGTCACCATTCATGCTTCGTAGTTCTGGCTTCCTTCTTACCTGATTGGATGCCATGAGTGTTGCGATTTGTTCTTCCTTGTTAAATAGTGACTACTGGTAAGTTTGACATTAAAAAAAAGAAAAATCGGCATGTGATTCTCAGATTTGCACACCTCCACTTTTCCCAATAGATTTAAAGTGTATTTCCACTTTTGCAGCCAAAATTGAGAAATCCTCTGTGTTTGATAATGTGTTCCGATTCACACAGCATATCTAAAAATGATTGTAAAAAAAATATTTCTAGTCTTTGAGATTTGTCTGTGTCACTCAGTTTCTGTAACAGGACACTCTGTCCTAAAAGAAAGACTAGGGACAGACTGAGCTCCCCCTCATTGACATACAATGTTCCTTTGAACATACAGTCCTGCTTATCTAGTTTACAAGTGATAATGAAATCTGCCATCACAGAACAGACAGAGCTGAATAATAAAAACGACATGCTTAAAAAAAAAAATAGAGTTTTCAATGAGAACAAACATCTCATAATGGTAACTGAACGACAAGTTCAATACAAAGAAAAGTTTTATTTATTTAAAACCAAACTTCCCGCAACTCAAAACCTCCCAGACGGTGAGAACTAAGCAGGATTTTTCAGTCCTAGAGTTAGCAGAAAGAGCATCTAAAAAAATGTAAGCTGCAATTTTCTTTTTTTTAAAGTTCTGCTATGTGAATGGGAACATGTAACATATATAAAGTCGAAGTTATCCCTATTTGCGGCAAAAGTGGAAATACACTTTAAGGGGAATAACACAGGCATATGTAATCCAAGCATATAAACGCTAGTCTAAATAACATCACATTCTGCAAGCATATCCAAATCTTGGAGCAGCTTTCTTGAAGTCCTACAAGCACGCTTCAGTCAGTCTGTGACTTTCAGATTTGCAGGCATCTCATTTTCTTGATCATACAGTACAGAACAGGTAATTCATAAACAACTGGGTAATAGGCAGGTATCATCAGGTGAAAGACGCTGGCCAGAGCTGTGACCTCATATAACCCCTCCCACGTCGGGAAATCCTCAATTTTACCAAGGTGGGAAACATGTCCATGAGGTGATGGACATGTTTATTCCGCTCTCCTTAGCAGAGAGGGCTTTGTGACCACTATATCTGTGTTATGGGTCAGTTGTCCACCACCTTGAAGCCTCATGCACACAGGCTGCCTGCATTAAACACAGGGAGTTATCTGGAAAGTATAAATGTGTTTGCATGCGTTCAGGTGCATCAGCCACCAAGGTGGACCTAGAAGCGGCACTGTGTAGCAGGAAGCAGATCTAATCTTGTCTTTGGTAGAACATCCAACGGTGGGAGACTACCTAGATAAGCAGAGCTGCGCAAATATTCAGTACATTTCTGCTCAGTATGATGATGGTCAGACTAGCATGGATAAACTTATAATGACCATGTATGCTCTTGCTTGTGAGCTTTTCAAAGGACCAATGTGTTTTCTTGAAACACCACCCCAAGCATTCTTCTTTCTGAGAGCGGGAGTTTTTAATACAGTTGTGGAAGTAATTGCAGGCTGTAGCTTTAACAGTCATGTAGCAGACTTCAGAAGTCATTTGCAAAGCTGTAGGAGACATCCTTGCCAAGATTAAAGAAGATCTCTGGTTTTTTTTATTTTATTTAATTAACCCTTGCAGTGGGGGCTACCTTTGCACTGTAAGGGTTAAGTGCTCTTTTTGGTCTAAGGGTGAAAATAAAGAGGAAATACTCGTAATAATCGTTGGTGCTGTGGCAGTGACCGCTCCGCCTCGGCTTATGTTGCATGGTGTCTTCATGTCTAGACCTGTATTAGACATGATGACATTACAGGTCCTTAGACCTGTGCAGCCTGGGGGAGAAGTGACTGTGAGGACTGGTCTAGCAGCCAGACTGGAACCGAGGACCTGGTCAGTATATCTTCTTTATTCGCCCCACTGCAAGGGTTATTTTGAAAATTTGCAGACCCTTTGTGAATTCTTAATGAACGCCTGCTAAATTTATGTTGTTCAGATTACCATTCACAAGCTAAACACACAAGTATATGTAACCTTTTAAACACACCAGGCAATTTCTTAAAGCATGTTGGTCTCTCTTATGCTTTTTTTTTTAAATACATAAGGAATGCAGGCCATAGGTTTAGTAGGCTTCACCAAACATTTACACAGCTTCAGTAGGCACTACTAAACAATCGCTGAGAGGTCACTGGGCTCCGCTTTGCAAATGCTTCCTAAATGTCTTCTCACTAAACTCTTGGTAGAAACTAGTCAGACTGCCATTTGCAAAGAAAAATTTACTTAAGAAGGGTGACGTAAAAGTAATCATTTTTAATGTGTATAAAATAGATAAATACCTGCTGTATATAATGAAAGTATTAAGACTTTCTGATGCTCAGAGGAAAAGTCCATGTTGTAGACTCCTATGACTTGTAATGATTGGTGTACTAACACAAATTCATTGTTGCCATTACATGTGAAAACTGAATGTAATTGTTATTTCAATCATATAATGCCATGTTTACTCTACCTCTAAAGACAAAATAGAATATACTCAAATGTATTTGGACATAATATAACTATTACTATGACATGACTAAGTTAAATCCATCTGCAATTCACAAATATGACCATGGACAATACACAACACAACACCAGCTCAAGCAAAAAAAAGGCCTTGTTGGCGGCACATCGGAGAGTTTGACCGTGCCTAGCGTCCCGGCTCTCCAGTGGTTGGACATACATACTCGTACGTCACTCCAGTCAACAGCCAGTTCTCTCTCTCCTCTCTCTTGCTCTCTCTGCTCTTTCCTCTCTCTCCTCTTGGGGGGGTTCTTGTTGATTAAAGTAATCAGATTGCTAGAGAACCAGGCCACTGCTTTGTGATGGAGAGTCTAGCTATGTGCTGTCAGCACAGGGTATTTTAACCCTGTTGGCCTTTAATTGTGCATGTATTGTATTACACTAGTTAAACAATTTAATTAACACTGTAATATGGGCATGCTGTTGTATTTATTTAGTTCTATTAATTAAACCAATAAAATGCTTTTAACTTGTAAGGTTCTGCCAACATTACTAGGGACTGCTTAGACAATGGGTGTGGTCAGATGCAAGCTTCATCTGACTGCTTTCAGGGCAAAACATGGTCTAGGATTTGCACAGCGCTCCTTAAAGATGGTTCTCTTAAGGGAGAACAGTTTAGTCAGCTCAGATTGCATAACTCTCCAATCAATGTTCCTCCTCAAGAGGTGTTGTCCAGAGGGACACTGCCTGTCAACTCAGATTAGAAAATTGTTGCGTCCACACCATTTCATGTCCATGGACAGCTTTAGTTGATGTTGAGCATATCCAAGGGGATAGGATACTTTTTTGCTGTTTCATCTCACATATTAATTACTCCATAAATGTTTCACAGTACATACAAAATGTATTGCAAGTATCGCATCAATATTAAATTGGGCAGCATCCAGGAAAATAAATGTGAACTTTAATAGATCACATCAATAGCATAAATCAAAAGAAATGTAGGAAATTCATAAAGTAAAACATGTGAGCAAATAATAAAATAGAGACATATGGAAACTGTAGTTTATTTTATGTACCTTTTGTTTTTTTTATTCTATAGGTGCATACATCAATGGTACGCATATTTCTGCTGTCAATTCTACTGCTTCTAGTACGGGTGCTCCGCCCCCTTATTCTCCCAATTCTGCTACACAGTCCTCTGGTAAGATGGCAAATAAACAGGAACAACATCACTGTGTCTGTGTGTATGTATATGTACATATATAGTGGGAAACAGCCAAGTCAACACCGTGGAGATCTCGGTAAATGCATTCCCTGCACACTTCTGCCAACACATGTAGGGACAGAAAAACAGAAGGCCGTCCACAAGCAAACATCCACTCTACGGGTTTCCTTTCCAACATTTATTAATTATTGGTAAATCAAGCACAGCTCCAGAATAAGAAAGCTCTGTCCTGTTTTTATCAGCACCGCCAACCCAACTTTCCAGGCGCCTGGGTTCTGAGCCCGATGCTAAGACCTGAATTTAAGTGGTCAGTGGCCAGTGAAGCCACCCATTCATTCCCTGGCCAGACTCCAGAGTTAAAGGTCCAACAGGTATCTGCCCTCTATCCTGTCCAGTTTTAAAAGTAATGACAGGGTCACTTAAATAAAACAAAGACTCCACAGTCTTGGTGGTAAAAAACATTTTTTTCCAACTTTAGCTCTGGGGTCTTTGGTGGCCGTTTGTCACACTGTTAGGAAGATTGGGCAAGAGATTGTATGTGGTGACTGCTTGGACAATGTATCATTTCTGACAGATTGGAGTCTGTCTGCCTCCTGCAACCTGCTGGTAGTTTAATGGCTTTACACATACACACGCACCTCACCTTGCTGGCTGATATATATATATAATGTTACTCTGTATATAATCCCATCATGTCTTCTTTCTATGCTCTCAGGTTCTGAAGATGCGTCTGGTCAATTAAGGGCTACACCCAATCAAGGTAAGCATGGGGTGTATAATATACATTTTCTTCAGTTTGTGCTTTAGTTAGATACTTCATTCATATCTTTGTTTTTGGCATGGACACTGTATAATAAGTCTGGGTTGGAAGCCCTAACACTTTTATACATACAGTAGGTGCTAATGTACGGTTTGTATATAAAGGGTTCATCAAAAGATAATGAACTGTAATGTAGGGTTGCACAAATCCAGGATTTCAGTGTGCCTCAAAAATGATTTATGGTGACCGAAATAACGTAGCGGAAGCAAGTGTTCTTTTCATTTCAGTTTCTGGCTCCTAGATTACTATAATTGGCTTCTGAGTTGTTGTTTTTTCACCCCCGGTGTTTTATTTATATTTTCTATTACAGCATAGTCTTTCTTCATTTATGTTATGTTGTATTCTTCCCACAACAGTACCTTGTCAGCAGACCGTAGAGGTTAGAGTTTTTGTGTTGTGCTGTGGGCGTGTGTATATATAGAACATGTATTTATATATATATATATATTTTATTTTTTATAATGCAGCTCCAGCAACCCCGCATATCTCACCACATGGAACCAACACATCAGCTCCTCCAACACCTTCTGTTACACCTGCTCCAGTGCCTACAGCTTCTCCTGCTAAATCCCTAAACCATCCCTCCACTCCTACAACACCTACCCTTTCCACAATGAGCATGGCTGCTCCTCCATCAGCCTTTTCAGGGCAAGCCACACCCCCCATGGCATCTCCTAAACCATCTACACCAAGTCCAACTGTTATAAAAAGTGCTCAGATGTCCTCCAGTACTCCCACATCAGCTGTCAATGCACCATCCACACCAAGTCCTGCAGTATTTCCTGGTCTTCCATCTGCTGCTGTTCCAACCCAGCAGAGTTCCTCCACCCCATATTCTTCTGGGGCCAGTGATCATTTGCCACCTCTGTCACTTCCAGGCCTTCCATTTTCTGCCACTACCTCTACAGCCTCTGTAAGCACTGCCAATATGATGCCATCACTTTTTGCTGGACTCCCATTGTCCTTAAATCCTGCTTTCCAGGGCATGGGTAGCCCAACACTTTCTGATATTGCTGGAGTTGCCGGACAAATGAATTTAGGCAATCCATTGTTATCAGTCCTGAAAGGATTTTTAGCCAGTGATCCAGGATTACTGAATTCCCCCTCAATGTCTTCCATGCCTGGAGCAGGACTTTTACCTTTTCCAAGTCTCCAAAATCTTGATTCTGTCTCGGCTTTAAATAAATCCTTTACTCCCCCTTGTTCTACACCAACACCTCAAAGAACAGCTACTCCAGCTTTGTCTGCATTTTCAGGATCATCTTCTCCTTCATTAACCAATCCTATTACTTCATCTGGTGCCATGCCTCTTCTGCACACTCAGTCTCCACTTAGCTGCAATGCACAGGGACATAATCCACCCTCTTCCATGTCAGAACACAATATTTCATCTTCCCCTAATTTATCCAATGCCACCCCTTTGCCTAAAGCAGAACCAGCTAGTCCATCACCTTCTGCATTTAAAGGACCATCACGCTCAGCTACTCCATCCCACAGTTCCCTGGGATTACCAGGTGTCCTAGGTCACATGTTTTCACCTGGCCCTGGGAACCTGGCTAACTCCATAAACCCAGCCTTGTCAGGGCTTTCCTCTATTAATGGCAATATTGGTAACCCAACCCTGTCCTCGATGGGATTGGGTTCCTCCCCAGGAATTCCACCTGTATTTCCACCCTTTACTTCATTATCCAATGGCTCTCCATTTGCAGGTAGTCCAGGTCTCACCCCCACTGTACCTATGTTAACATCTACAGCCACAAATGCTTCTGCAACCCCACCACTCACTTCATCTGTGTTTCCTGGCCTTTCTGTACCCGCAGCAGCCGCTGCCTCCTCTTTTCCACTTAACCTATCCAATGCACTCCCTTCTCTCTTTTCTGTACCTCAAGCACCCTTAGTGTCATCAAACCCATCTTTTCCTGGTTTCCCAGTTTCTAGCACACCACCAGTCAACCCCACTCTTTCCGTTCTCCCTTCCTTTCCTGGACTTCAGGCTCCAACATCTTTAGCAGGAGGCCCACCTGTGCCGCCACCCGCGAGTATCCCATCTCCAGCTTCTGTTTTACCTGGATTTGCTTCAGCTTTCAGCTCAAACTTCAACTCTGCTCTTGTGGCGCAAGCAGGGTAAGTAGCTACATACACTATTGCAGTTGGTAAATCCTTATCATAATGTTTATTGTTTGCATACATTGCTAGTTTGCTTGTTATGGAAAAAGTCTATTTAAGGGCTAGTTCACATTACAACTGCATGCACCTGGGCAGCTGCAGTGCGATGCATTTGCCGCTGCTTTACCGCAATTTTGACGCTTTTTTTTTAGCTCAAAAAGGGCTTTCAGGTGCAGTCCAGTGTGTTTGCATGCATTGTTGATGCGTTCAGGTGTAGCTAAAATGAGACCAGTGGTTTTTTTTCTGGCTGGTGTGGACAGAGCACCAGAAATCCCATTGGAAAGCAATGTGACGTGATTCTGATGCAGCTGCCAAACTGAACATACTTCATCACAACTGCATCTGGTGTAAACTAGCCCTCAACCCAACATCAGTGGTGGCAGCTCTAGTGTTGTTGTTTTTTGTTTTTTTTAAACTTTTAACCTGGTTTATTCTGCCACTCTAACGCACTTCCTTTCCTAGTACTTTATCTATAGAGGAGCCATTTGTCTTTCATTCTTTCGTGTGTAGTTATATGTAGCATAAACTATTCTGTCACTGGTAGAGGTACATCATTGTAAGTGTACAGCTTAATACAGGTGCTCCTTGGGTACCTGGGGTTTTTTAAAGCGACATTAAACCTCCAGGTTTTTTTTTTTTTTTTAATTAACCCTTTCGCTGTCACCGATGTATGGCATACGGTGGAACACAACTGTTACCAGCTGGCCACGTCAGTATGCCATACGTCGGTGGCATTTACCGTTCTGCTACAAGCTTACGGTCGCTTAAGCGACCATAAAATTATATCAGAACGGTCCCCTGACAGTCCCCTTTAAATTTATAGCTGTGTCTCCAATGGCATCTATTAACAAAAATTCCAGGCGGCCCTCCCCCTCTGCAGCCTCTCCTCCCCATCTGAAGCCATTCCAGGCTGGGATCTGTTTCTCCTCGGATCCCCTGCTCTACCCCGCTTGTATGGGCTGAGGCAGCAGAGATCTGAGGTGAAATGGCCGGCGGGGGGGGGGGGGGTGGGGGGTGG